GTATAATCCACAATCCACAATCTGTCACAATTTACATGCATGGATCACAACAGATTGTATTCAAACACAACAGGATTCCATTGTCACATATAATGATACATTACGTTGGAATCGCGCTAAAATTGCCTCGCGTTGCGCCTATTGTTTGTTACCGATTTATTTGTTTACGTTCTTTCTTTCAGGCTTCTCTATGGGGAAAGGGGGGTGGGGGTGGGTGGGGGTGAGCAAAAAAATAAATACATTAAGATGTTAAATAACTATATTGACCATTGAAATATATATATATATATATATATATATATATATATATATATATATATATATATATATATATATATATATATATATATGCATGTATGAAACACCGTTGATAACAACCAGAAAAATGTACAAAACCTAGCAGTCTTCAATGGTAAATGAAGTAGTTAGCTTGTCCGCTTGGAGGCCCAGTTGATTACATAGCCAACAAAACGGTCAATATACCCCCCCCCCCCCCCCACCCCCCACCCCTTATTCATGGCGCCAGTCGTCTGCTGATCCATCCCGCCTCCCCCCTTGACATATCTGACACCTCCGACCTAGACCCTTATGACCCGCCCCCCTAACGACATGTCAGAGAGCAACTATTACACCGTAGTGATTGATTCCTGGCGCCCAGTCGAGACTATCGGGTCATCGATTACGTCACGTGGGAGGGGGGGGGGGGTTGGGAGGGAAGGGGATCAGCCAATTGATGGATTGTGTTGCTCCAGGTTAATTGTTTTACAATTACTGAACACCATTATTGCACACCATTATTGCACACAATTATTGCACACGATTGGCGCATTGTGTGTTTTTGTTGTCTGTGCACTGGTTTGCTTGTTTAATTTTTCTCCTGTATAGGGTTGGTAAGTAGGTCACCAACCAGTTCTACGGCTCAATAAAACCTGCATGAGCCGTAGAACTGTTTATTGACCTACTTACCAGCCCTATTGTTGCATTACATTACAGGCTGTGAGCGTATTACTTGTTGATTGAGTTGGTTGTATTGTGTTATTAGACTGTGATGAAATGTAATTTCCGCCTGCTTTTCGGCTTGATTTTGATTGTTATAGTACATTATATTTGAAAAGAATGTATATTAAAATTCCAGGTTATATATTTCTTTATATACCAGTTTAAACTTCAACACTTTTAATCAAGCATTTTTGTGGAACTCTATTCATAAATTCAGACTGAATGAGTACCTGGCATAATTTGGGTAAGAGTATACTCAGTGGTCAGTACTGTAAATGATGTAAAGCAAGAGTGGGCAATTGCTTTGGCTCGAGGGCCACTTTGTGGTAATGGATTTATCGGAGGTCCGCACCGTTTAAATTGATTGTATTCTTTAGTTAACATTGCATTTCGGTCGCGGACATGAAGCGAATCTCAGTTCAACGCGGGGTTTTCTGGATATCAGGCGGGCCACACAAAAAACTTGGTGGTGGGCCGCATGTGGCCCGCGGGCCACACTGTGCTCACCCCTGATGTTGAGCACACAACTGTAACATCGAAAGATTCGACACCCGGATCTGAGTCTACTCAGTTTTATTGCGTACCAGGCTCTAGTCAACGATATAAAAACCGTTAGGTTTATTCATTTACACAACGAGTTGAAATAGATAACTCTACTTCATCTAGTTTATGGATAGTCAGTTGCAAGTAAGATAGAAATAAAGTAAAATTCCATTTGTAACCCAAGCGACCCTTAGTGCTGATAAACTACAGTTTGCATGTGTCTTGACCACGGCATATGAGGAGATGGTGTGGTCAGCACACAGCCCAACCGCGTTAGCCTTTTCCTAACGTGAGTGGGGTACCTATCGTAGCTGGGTAGACTCAGGGGCATCCTACAGCAAAGAGCGAGATCCGAACTTGAAACCTTTAGGCTATCAGACAAGCGCTCTACCACTCCACCATGCCAATCTACCTACTCATTTACAAGCAGGGTATTTTAGTAAATCTAATTCCAGTTTAAAAAAAACCTCGAAAACCTATCGCATTTTACGTAGCAGTTAAAATATTTACAAACTTCAAGTAAAAAAAAACCCATAACATGATGCAACTTCTTGAAATCTATGACTCAACACATCTCACCTGGTCACCCCCCTCCCCCATATTCTATTTACCTGAGCACTGTCTATACCTGACTGCACACACTATATCATTTCAATGATTCCACTGTCAATAAAAAAATTTTTATGATAAATTCACCCCCACCTGCAGAATTAAGTTATCCTTGACGAAAACTATTAAAATGGTTCTTCAGCTAATCTAGTAAATTTGTTTGATATAAATAGCAAGGTTATTAAGTTTATATGTACCCGATGACGCTGAATAGTTCAAAGAAAGCATTAAATATATATATATATATATATATATATATATATATATATATATATATATATATATATATATATATATATATATATATATATATGTATGTATGTATGTATATATATATGTATACATTTCTTGTTTTTAATTTGTCCTGTTTGTGTTCTACTGGTGCTCATGTTCATATCGTCTACAACTTAATTAAACTTTAACTAATGAAGACGGAACCTTCATTATTTGTTGACATTCCGAATTCTCACATACTAGAACCTTAGAATGGGTGAGATTCTCGAGAAAGCAACATGAAATAGTAAACAAACCGCAAACAATAAACAACTACCAAAAACAAGATTAGAAGTCTGATTACATGGTAGCGAAAAAAAAATTGGACACTGAATTATACAGGAGATTTAGACTGAAACAAGAATACCATTATACAATAATTCAACAATGATGTAATTTTTGGTCTATGAATGGGGGGATTGTATTTAAAGGACTAGGAATGGATTTGTATGGGGGGGGGGGGGGGGGCTGTGTGATTGTGTGTGTTTGTGGGGGGGGGGGGTAGCAACATTGTAGTAAATAGGAAGTATGGAGCAGGGTCTCGTGGGGGGGGGGGGAAGGGAGGGATTAAAACAGGCGCCCCAACTTTCTGCAATAATTGATCACTAGTCTCCACAGTAGTAATGATTTCCCAGATGTTCATAATCTCATCAATTTATCATGTTTCATTAACGAGCCCAACCACAAAGTAATCAACAACTAAATTAATGGGCTGTCTACTTAATCCAAGACAATAATTTCATCAACTTCGAACCTAAAATCCCCATGGGATTATAACCAGAAAAAAATCTTTAAAAAAATCATAAATCATTTATCATAAAATGTACAAATGTACTAACAAACGATGTAGTCGTGTTTGTTTTCACGAAACTCCAATTTCCTTCTGTAACACTACATTGTTATTGTTTCCTGAATGTCGATTGTAAATATAAATATTTTGTATGGCACGTTATGACGTTATCTAGTCGGAAGAATTTTTTAAAGGCATTTCTTCCAAAGGGGGTGCGGGAGGTGGGGTGGGGGGTACTGTCCCCACGGGACACGCATACAGGACAAAAAAAAATCTCCACGGACTAAAAGAATATAATTTGTGTAGAAAATATATGCGTTAACCAGTGTCCCACCCATCCCACGCAAATTCAAGTAACCCCCCCCCTTTCAAGAGATAAATGTCTGAAAGAAACAATGACAGAGTTATTGATGTTAAAAAAATAGACTAGAACGCTGCATATCAGCAAGAACACCCCCCCCCCCACCTCTCCGCCTTAACACACTTCTACCATTGAACAAGGCTGAAAAAACTTTCAAGCGTTTAATATCGCATACCCATAGCTGGTTCTGAAACAAAAATGTTTTGTTCAGAAATATTCTTGAGTTCAATGTGTTTTTCTCTCTTTAGATGGGACTCGCTAGTAACACTGGCACAAAGAAAACTATAGTATCACAGCGCGCGACTGGTTCGATCGTATAGCATATGTTTTAATGGTGTGCCGTAGGATTTCTCACTGTGGACGAGCTGGGGGAGGGGGGGGGGGGGTGGGGGGGTGGAGAGCAGTAATGGAATAATTAGACAATTTCAATGGCACAAGGGATCCGAACCCAAAACTATAGAGATAGAATTTCAAATTCACCAAACGAGACTATTCCACCCGCGTTCCGAGTTCCGAACGCTGGACTATTGGTTAGAAATCGTCCGCTTTCTCGCCCGACCACGCCTTCACCAATTTGGTGATACATTTTACCCTTCCCCCAATCACTAGTTGGGAGTGAAATCATAGCCAATGTAAACATAGTTTCCTATTCAAACCATAGGGCAAGTGAAGTAGAGTTCATCTGTTTCTGTGACCTCGGCATATGAAGGGATAGTGTGTTCAGCACTATGCCCGGTAATTTTTACTTTCCATAACGTGAGTCAGGTACCCATTAGAGCTGGTTGGACACAGGGACGGTCTACGGACTTGACCTTGGATTCGACCTTCAGTCATTCGAATTAGCAGTCTAAGTGCTATACCAGGAGGCCTCGCAGTCTCATTGTAAACATGCTTTACCTAACACCCTGTTATTTAAAGTAAGACACGACGATGTTACAAAAACAAACAAACAAAAAACAACAACAAACAACACAAAACGAAATGGCAAAAGAATCGAATAAAATACATAGCAGTAAGAGTGGGAACTTACTCGAGACCAACCTCCCCTCCATGTGTAAAACTACAGATTTTTATGCGTTCTAATTAAGAATTCATACTTTTCTCTTTTCCCTAATTCGCAGCGAATATTCTTTCCAAATAAAAATAATAACCGATTTCCAATATACAATGCTTGAACATTTATTTATATATTTTTACTGTGAAAATGTTTAGATAACAATAAAATATAGTATTAAAATAAATAGTTCCAGTACTGTTTCGCTAATAACTTAGTTATATAGAAACCAATAAGCCAAATCCAAAATAAATAAATAAACAAAGCAACAAAGACAAACAATAAAAAAAAATAAACATGAAACAAACCTAGACATAAGTAGCATAGGATCCAAACAAATTGTAAAGTAAATTACAAAATAAACAACTTACCTTTTGCGCTCTGTAATTTTCGAAGCGGCTAAATTTGAAGTAATTCGTCTTTGATCAAAGTTGCGCACTTATTGCAAGAAAAAAATAATTTTAATACGTTTAATTGTAAAGTACTTTAGTTTCACTTGTATATATAAAGTTATAAAATACCAAAGTTATAAACTTTATAGCCGGCTTGTTTCAGAAATCATAAATAAAAAAAATAATCTCTTTAGAAGTTAATTTATTTTTTATTAAACGGAACCAAATTCTAAATTTTGATGTTATCGGTTTATTTTATAGAGGTTGGCAAAACGCGGAGGTGGGTGTTTGGCACAATACGAGCAAATGTATGGTGGCACGTAGTGTCATATTTTCTAATTTTAAACCCAATTTCAAGAGAAATTCGTGTTGTGGGTGGGTGGTCAAAAATCGAAACAAAAAAACGTTGGCTTAAAGAAGAGAAGAGTGGGTTGAAAGGGGAATTATCATGGTTTTTTCAGATATTCATATCTTTTTCTCTGGGGAAAGGAAGGGGGAGTGGGGCAGTTGAAACTTCCGTGTATAGGGAGGGACGGACACACGTTAAAAAAGGGGAGGGGGGCGGACAATTGTTAAATGGGGGGGGGGGGGGGAATATTATAATTTTCTTTATATATCAAAATGCATTTTCGATTTCGGCAGTGGACGTGCATTGCCCTACCCCCACCCCCACCCCCCGCAAGATAAAATATAGTAACATCAGCCACGCAGACGGCAACAAATTTGAAAAAAAAAATCGATCATTTCTCTCACCCATGTTACCAGCCGCTAGACCCGTGGGTTTCTACCAGGCTTTTGCTCCCTCCCCCTTTTACATAGCCCCCCTGGGGTTGGACATGAGGGGCAGTTGGGTCAGGGACGGTCTACGGTCTAGAGATTTGTGTTCTGAACTCCAGACATTCGGGTTAGCAAGTGCTCGCTCTACCGCTAGACCACGCCGGCGATAGTTTTAAAATTTACAAATGTGGAGGGATTTAAAAATGTAACTCTGTATTCGACAGAAGGCTGACTTTTTTATCTTCTTCGTTCTTAATTTTAGTGTTGGAAGGGATCCCCTCCAACACAATTAAGTATACGTGTCAACTGGTTATGCGCCATTTAGGCCATTGACTCAGCATGCTTTTGTTTTTGGATTTGCTTCCATAGCCTTAGCCCAACCAATAACAAACTACAAGGCAGCAGTTGTTTAATTTTGGAGTTGTCTCTCCTAGAAGAGTGGCTGTCCCCAGCTAACGAGCCCGAGGGTTCGAACTGGAGACTTTTCGGTTTAGCAAACACGCTTTACCAACTCAACCACGCCGACCCCTAAGGCTTACTTATTTAAGAAATGACTACAAGATGCGACAAAAAACTCACAAACTTCACCAAAATAGAAGCTTAAAGTACTAGGCAACACAAAAATTAACCTAAAAGACCTATTCTGATCACAAGGCAAATAAAATTGAATGAAGATTGGTTCAGAGGCTAATGGACTAGACATCACAAAATTACATTCAAATGCCTATTATGCTGACAAGGCAAAAGAAATTGCGTAAAGTTCGATTCAGAGATATTAAAACTCAATCATACAAAAAATTTTAACGTCACAATGTATCCTGAGGGAAAGAAGATGCAAGTTTTAATTAATTACGTTTAAAAATAGACACAGGTAATTACCTTAAACTGTTGATGATTAATGTCACGTGCTGATTCACAGCATCAAAAGGTGATGCAATGCTAAGTGATTACATGATCAAAATACAGAAACTGCTTACATTGTCAAATTACAGGAACTGCTTACATGGTCAAAATACAGGAACTGCTTACATGGTCAAAATACAGGAACTGCTTACATGGTCAAAATACAGGAACTGCTTACATGGTCAAAATACAGGAACTGCTTACATGGTCAAAATACAGGAACTGCTTACATGGATGTTACATGAGTGTTATTTTGTTATAAGGGATTCGGTCAATCCTTTCATCTACCGTTCAGTTCCTCTGTCTATCTTCCTGTGTCTGTGTGTTTGTTCATCTGTTTGTTTTTTATTTCTCAGTCTTTAATTCTGTATATCTGTATGTCCGTATGTTTGTAGGTCTGTTTGTCCGTACGTCATGTCTGTATGTCTATATGCCCGTAAGTTCGTGTGTCCGCATGTCAGTACGCCTAGAGCTGGCTAAGACTTCAACTATACATAAAAATTCCCTCAACTAGCTAATATTCATTTTCTCTGTAAAAATTACAATTGGATTAAATTGGATTACTCTTACCCTTAAACCCAGTTCGAATGATGGATACCGATATCGAACTAGTTCATCTAGCCCTACAACCTGCAGTTCAGTGCAAATCTATGTCGTTTTGACACGAAAAACCAACAGCAGTGTCTTCTTGCTTCTTCTTCGTTCTTTATTTTTAATATTGGAAGGGATTCCCTCCAACACAAGGAAATATTACGTGTCAACTGGTTATGCGCCATAAAGGCAGATTTCAGCCTGCTTTTCTTTTTGGATTTGCTTCCATAGCCTTGTCCAACCAAGAACAAATACATGTTGTTTGATTTTCGAGTTGTCTCTCTTGGAAGAGAGGCTGCTCCCCAGATATCTAGCCTTATCTGATAGGGGGTTCGAACTCGAGACTTTTCAGGTTAACAACCATTAGCTTTACAGACTCGTGTAATAAGTTGCTTTCCTTCCCCAGTATATTTATAAAATAATCATAAAGTATTACCCAATTTTTCGTTGAGAAAAAAAGTAGTAAATTATTATAGTTAACCAGTGGGGTAATGTGCAGGGGAGGGGGGGGGGAATCGTCCTGCTATTCACTCATAGGCAAGGGTCCAGGAAACTCTACTTCACCTGCGCGCCTTGTACACCGTCTGCTCAAGGAAATGTTAACTTATTTCTCGTACATTCATATCCATTTCTACCACGTTGTATGTCATCTATATGTGTTGTATATGATGAAAGAAACGTATTTAAAAAATCCTTACAAATTTCCCATAAGTCCAGTAACCTTTCATCATCTAAACGATTTCACACGTACATCCGGATATAAACTTTGACCCCCTTCCGCCTATACTATCCTTAAATCCTGACGATTGAAATCTTTGATGGCTAGATTTACAACAAGATGGGATTACGGAATAGGTGCGGTAATTATACGGAGTTTTTAACACGTAGCGAGTTTGTGCATATAGAAGTACGATTTACGCGCTTATCCAGGATTTAAATGGGGCGAATGACGTCAAGAAAATGGCGGCGTTATCCATCTCTTAAGTCTAAGTAGGGGTTAAGGGTGGAGGGGTTAAACTCTAGGACATTTGTCTGTGGTGTAAAAGTTGCAATTATCAATGTCAAGGACATGCTGTATGACGTCATGATGTCAGTGTTATTCTTTATTTTGTTGTCTTAATAGCAGAGACATTACCCTCTATATCGTCACACTCAATATGCCAGAGACATGCTGTATCGCCATAATGTCAGTAACTTGCTCTATGACGTCATAATGTCAGTGATATTTCTGTGTTGTCATAATATCAGTGACATTACACTACAGCGGCGTAGGCAGAGGGGGTTAGGGGGGGGTCATAACCCCCCCCCCCCCATAGACCCCTCGGTATAGATATATAAAGTATGAGGGGGGTGTAAATCGAAAGTTTGAGGGGGGGGGGTGCAAATCGAAAGTTTGTCCCCGGGTAAAAATTGGAACCCCCCTTGAGACGATCCTGGCTACGCCACGGTTACATTATACATCGTCACACTCAGTATGCCAGCGACACGCTCTGTCGCTATGATGTCAGCGACTTGATCTATGACGTCATAATGTCAGAGACATTACACCCTCTATAACATTACACTCTTTTTAACAGTGAAATGGTGTCTGTTGACGTTCAGCTGTGGTTACGTCACTTTAATTAGGTAAGCCAGGACCACTTGCAGTTGTGATTACGTCACTTTAATTAGGTAAGCCAGGACCGCTTGCAGTTGTGATTACGTCACTTTAATTAGGTAAGCCAGGATCACTTACAGTCGTGGTTACGTGACGGTTAACAAGTTCATCAGTCGGTAGACCAGGATGAGTGGGTGAGTGTGCTCAGTCATCTCTCACACGTGAACTAGCGCTCACCTTAACCACCAAAACACACAGACACGCAGACACACAGACACACAGACACATACAGAAATAGACACGTAGTTCACACACAGACACACACACATACAAATACAGAAACACAGACAGACATGTACACACATTCACGAACACAAACACGTTCACACACTTAAACACACACAAACACACACAAACACAAGTATACACACACACTGGCGCGCGCACACAGACACACGCACTCACACACATACTTCACAGACATACATATACACACACTTAAAAGCACTGGATACCGAGGCTGGGTACACGGCTTGGTTTGAAGAAAAAAAAACGTTATCAAGACAGAAGTGGGTTAGGCAGGAGAGCTCATACGCTAACTCCTGAAGTCCTGAGTTCGAACCTCCGTGGTAGATGAGGCTCGATAACTGGTTACAATATTCACCTAAACTATTCCGTTATGGGACCCAATGAAAACTGTGTAGACCTAGAACAGCTTTGTAACATGAATAATAGCGGGGCTTAAGGAAGGGGTCCCATATTTCCCATACTTTAGGGTCTTTTTCTAAAGTGCAAATTGGTGATTATGGGACAGAGGGGTGGAATGGTAGAGCGTTTGGCTGCTAGTCCGAAGACGTCAAGTTCGGATCTAGACTCGGATTTGTGTCTGTTGAACGTATCTGAGTACACCCAGCTCTAGTGGGTAACTGACTCACGTTGGGAAAGTAAAGATGGCTGGGCAAAGTGCTAAACACCATATCCCTTTATATGCCGAGGTCAAGAAACATGAACTACTTCAAATGCACAACGGAATAGCTGGGTCTAAAGAAACACTAGACTGGTGACTTTTTTGGGATGGAGGTTGTTTTAATTAATGTTTCATCGTATTGTGGGACGCCGTGGTCTGGTGGGTTGCTTATGATTGCCAACTCCAAACGTTCCGAGTTCGAAACCCGGGCAGATGAGGCCTGTTAGCTTGAGACACCAACACATCTAGGAAAGAAAACTCTAAAATCAAACAATTGCTGCATTGTAGTTGGTTCTTGGTGGATAAAAACTATGGAAGCAAATCCAGAAAGAAAAGCACTCTGAAATCGGAGTCATCGGACCATTTAGCAAATAACA